TACAAGGAACTCTTAAAGCTCAATAATAAGAAAACAAAAAATCCAATTTTAAAAATGGGCAGAAGATCTGAACAGACATCTCATCAAAGAAGATATGTAGACCGCAAAGGAGCATATGAAAAAATGCTCAATATCACATTTGCATCAGGGAACTGCAAATTAAAACAACAGTGAAATACCACTATATACCTATTATAGTGGCTAAAATCCAAAACCTGAAAACACTAAATGCTGATGAGGATGTGGGACAACAGGAACTTTCATTTGTTGCTGGTGGGAATGCAAAATGGTACAGCCACTTTGGAAGACAGTTTGGCAGTTTCTTACGAAATTAAATATGCTCTTATCTTATGATCCAGCAATCATGCTCCTTATGTCTACACAAAAGCCTGCACGCAGATGTTTATAGCAGCTTTATTCATAATTGCCAAAAACTGGAAGCAAACAAGATGTCTTTTAATAGGTGAATGGAAAGATGAACTGTGGGACATCTATACAATGAAATACTTAATTCAGCAACAAAAAGAAATGAGCTATCAAGCCATGAACAGACATGGAGGAACCTTAAATGCATATTACTAAATTAGAGAAGTCAATCTGAAAAGGAGACATACTGCATGATTTCAACTACGTGACATTCTAGAAAAGTGAAAATTACAGAAACAGTAAAAAGATCAGTGAGGAAGGAGGGATAAATAGGTGAAGCGTAGAATTTTTAGGGCAGTAAAACTATTCCGTATGATACTGTTATACCACATGGATACATAACACTGTATTTTTCAAAACCCACAGAACTGTACAACAAAGAATGAACCCTAATGTAAACTATGAACTTTAATAAATAATAATGTATTGATATTGGTTCATCAATCGTAAGGAATATACCACATTAATGCAAGGTGTTAATGACAGGGGAAACTCTGTGTGGGGTGGGGGTAATATATGGGAACTCCTTACTTTCTGCCCAATTTTTATGTAAATCTAAAACTGCTCAAAAAATAAAACTATGAATGCAAAAGAAAAGCTAATTCATGAATTAACCTAGGTTAATTGCCCTAGGGGTGGTAATGATATTGTGGTTATGTAGAAAAGATGTCCTTATTCTCAGGAGATTTATACTGAAGTGTTTAGAAATGAAATGTCATGATGTCTGCAACTTACTTTCAAATACTTCAGCCAAAA